GGGCCCCCGTCTAATAATAACTAACTAGATAAATAAATAAATAAATTAATTAATTAAATAAATTAAATAAATAAATAAATAAATAAAATAAATAAAATAAATAATAACATACCTCAGACATATTAGGAGGTTTCTCGCATAAATCATGACGTAAACAAACACCACTTAAAGAAAAATGTGCTGTAGGTCCATGAGGTAAATGTGATACAATTAATGCATTAGGTTCCCCTGCATGCAAATATAAATAAATAAATAAATAAATAAATAAATAAATAAATATAAATAAATATATATAAAAAGTTAAGTATAACTATATATACATATTAATATATATGTGCAGACACACGCAGGTAGGCAGACATGTATATCTATATGAGGTAATTAGTGCATTAAGCCCCTCTGCTTGCAAATAAATAAAAAATAATAAATAAATATAAATACAAATATAAATATAGATGCATGCATGCATATTTATATTCGTGACACAAGGCAAATAAAATAAAAATAGAATTTGCTAATAGCAACAGTAAAAGATAAACAAACAAACAAACAAATAAATAAACAAACAAACAAACAAATAAATTAAATAAAAGCAAACAAACAAATAAAAAACAAAATAAAAATAAAAATAAAAAAATAAGAAAATGTATGAATGCCCTAATGAATAATTTTTTCGAATTATTCGGCTAAGTCGTTGGGGTGTATGCACACCTCGATGTTCATGTACAATAATTACATCCGTAGTTCCCTTAGCTCTACACATTTGAATTAAATCATTTAATATAATTCCTCCACGATTAATTTTTTGACAATTTGGAATTAAAAGACGAAATTCAGAAATAAATTGAAGAAGACGAGAGGAAGGGTTACGACTAGTAGTTAGTACTACCTGTGGATCCTCTAGTCCTATAAATAATAAACAGGAAAAAATAATTATTTATTTTATTTATTTTATTTATTTTATTTATTTATTCTATTTATTTTATTCTATATGTAACAAAAACACCACCAGCAGCAGCAGCACAAATAGCAGCACCAACACCATTCGCCAGCAGCAGCAGCAACAACAGAAACACGGACACTATCCTCAGCAACAACACTAACTACTGCAGCACAACCAGCCTCATATATATTACCAGCAGCAGCAACAGCAGCAACAGCAGCAACAGCATGAGAAGGAGGAGGAGGAGGAGGAAGAGGAGCTGACCTGCATATGCATATTCATCATCAATATGTGTATATTGTTGCTCCGTGTTTGCATCTGTTAGATCAAGGGTTTGTGCTAATCGTGTAGCAGCAGCAGCACCACCAATATCTGTAGGTATTGGTTTTCCTTCCTCTAGTGCTGCTCTTACTGCTGCTTTTCTTGCTGCTAGCTGCTGCTCCTTATCCTCTAATGATTTCCTGTATAAATACTCCTTACGGAGACGTGCTGTACGACGCAACATCCTATAATAAACCCTAAACCCTAAACCCTAAACCCTAAACCCTAAACCCTAAACCCTAGACGACGGGTAAAGAATGACTCTTCGAGCTGACGAATTCGAACCATCCATAAGAAAACACTCCTTGGATTGCCACGAAGGCAGCAGCAACTGTTGTTGTTGTTGCTGCTGCTGCTGTTCCTGCTGCTGCTGTTCCTGCTGCTGCTGCTGTCGCTCCTGTTGTATAAATAGACTACTTGCTGCTGTTGCTGCACGGGAAAATACGAAGAATGGGCAACGGGGCCCCACAGAAGAAAAGGAGTTGAAGGCAACAGGAAGTGTCGATACACCCGAGTAAAAGGAAAAAAGGAAATAAAAAAGGAAATAAAAGGGGAAATAAAAAAGAAAAGAAGAAAATAAATAAAAAACAATAAGAAGGATGTTGTGTCTAAGAAAACATGCTAAAGATGACGGGGCCTCCGGCCTCGACGACTTGCTGCTATTGCTGCTGCTGCTGCTGCTGCGGCGGCTGCTGCTGTTCAATAAACCTTGTCGCTAAATCCTTTTTAAATGCTATATATCCCCTTTTTTAATATTAAATAAAATAAAAATAAAAAATAATTAAAGAAGACTCCTGTGCCCGCTGCCTCTTGCCTCCCCCACAGGAGGCCGTCGAGCCCCTTGTAGGTACACCCCAAAACCCTAAACCCTAAACCGTAGCTGCAAACGACAACCTCTCGCCACCCCGAGAGTGTCTACAAAGTCCACTAGACTCTTTATAACCGAAGGCTTAGGGTTTGCGGTTTAGGGTTTAGGGATTAATATACCTAAGGAGGCGGCAACCTCACAATCGAATGCCACTGGGGGAGGGCGTCGCTTGCTCGAGGGTTTAGGGTTTAGGGTTTAGGGTCTATGTCAAGGACATTTTTGGTATTTTTCCTATAAAAGGGTTTAGGGTTTACGGCCTAGGGGTTTAGGGTTTGAGGCCCGACGCCATCCCTCGGCCCCTGGAGGGCATACAAATATAGCGAGGGTTTACGTGTGAGGGTCTAGGGTTTTGAGGGTTTGCCTCTGCTGCATCTGTGGCTGTTGCTGTTGCTGAATGCTCTCAATTGAGAGCTGCTGCTTATGCTCTAAGGCCCAGTGTCTGTTGCTGCTTCCAGTGCAGCAGCAGCACTGGCGCCAGCAGCAGCAGCACCAGCAGCAACAGCGGCAGCAGCAGCAGACTCTAGAGGATTCGTTGCCGACTTGCTGCGAACTGTGCTGCTAACAGGAGCTCGACTATCAGAGCGTCATCAGCGATGCCATCCACAGCCTAAAGGGGCAGGGGGACTACCGCAGCAGCAGCAGCGGCAGCGGGGGCAGCAGCAGCAGCAGAAGTATGACAGCCAGCAGCAGACCCCTTAAGAATGGTATCTTTAGAGGAGGGCACAAGCCTCAGAGGCTCCATGTGGGGGCCCCCTCAGGGGGCCCCCATATTGCGGCGGCCGCTTGAGGCCCTGCTGAGGTGCCTGGACACTACATCAGCAGCGGCAGCAGCGGCAGCAGCAGCAGCAGCAGGGAGTGTGTCTCCTTCCTGCAGCAGACAGAATCGACGACACTTCGATGCACCCTTAAAGGAGACATGCGGCCCCGCTGCAGCTGCGCATGAGTCCCCAAGTATCAGTAACAAGCAGCAGCAGCAGCAGCAGCAGCAGCAGCAGCAGCAGCAGCAGAAGCAGTGTCAGCCTTTGTTACTGTTCGACGGGTTCGAAGTGCGCGAAGGGAAATCCCTCCACGTGCTGCAGCTGCAACAGCAGCAGCAGAAGCAGGAAAGGTCCCGTTTTCGCCAGCTGCTGCGCCTCTTCCTGCTGCTTTTGTTATTTTGCTGCTATAGCAGCAGCAGCAGCGGCAGCGGCAGCGGCAGCGGATGTTCCTTCTCAATAGGTATGACTGCTGCTGCTGCTGATCCCCCCAATACAGGAGGAGCAGCAACAGGGAGACGCTCCCGCCGCAAGTGGCGAGGCCTGCGGCTGCAGTTGCCGCCTCGTCTAGGAGAGCAACAGAGACAGCTCCAGCTGTCTCCTCCCAGCAGCAGCAGCAGCAGCAGCAGCAACAGTAGTATCTCTGTTGAGTGCCTTGAAAACCAAAGAAACTGCGAGCGAGATAGACTGCAAGAGTGTAAATAACCGGCTGCTGCTGCTGCTGCAATTGCTGCTGCTAATGGTGCTGCTAATGCCGATGCTGCTGCTGCTACTGTTGCTGTTTTTAATTTGTTTGTATTGGTGTTTTGTTGTCACCTGCACTCGTGCTGCTGCTGTTGTTGCTGCTCCTGCTGCTGCAGCTGGTGCTGCTCCTGGTGCTGCTGCCTCAACTGCTGCTGCAGTTGCATTCAGGGGTGCGGTTGTCTGTCATTGTGGCTTATTTATCTGCAGCTGGCGGGTTGGAAGGGAGACCCGCTGCGGCTGCTGCTGCTGCTGCCGCCGCTGCTGCTGCAGAGGTGAAGGAGGTGCTGCGCAAAGTCGCGGAAACGCTGCTGCAAGTGCAGCAGCAGCAGGAGAGGCAGCAGCAGCAGGAACACAAGCAGGATGAAGAGGGAGGCGAGCTGCAGCTGCAAGACCTGCAGCACGAAGAACTGCAGCAGCAGGGGGAGCTGCAGCTGCAAGATCTGCAGCACGAAGATCTGCACCAGCAGGGGGAGCTGCAGCTGCAGGATCTGCAACACGAAGAGGTGCCGCAGAAGGGAAGGCTGCAGCTAAAGGACCTGAATCAGGAAGCGGTGCAGCAGCAGAAGGTGCAGCTGCAGGGACTGCAGCAGGTAGAACCGCAGCGGCAGGGACTGCAGCAGCAAGGACTGCAGCAGAAGAAACAGGAACAACAGCAACAGAAACAGGAACAGGAACAGCAGAAACAGAGACAGGAACAGGGAAAGCTGCAGCAGAAACAGGAACAGCAGCAGCAACAGAAACAGGAACAGCAACAGCAGAAACAGGAACAGGAACAGCAGGAGCGAAAACAGGGACAGGAACAGCTGCAGCAAAAACAGGAACAGCAGCAGCAAAAACAGGCACAGCAGCAGCAGCAGGAACTGGGACAGGAGCAGCAAAGCAGCAGTGCCTTGAACGAGCCTGCTAATGCTGCAGCAGCAGGTATGTTTCCTTTGTCACCCTTCTGCTAGCAGGAGACTTATTGTGCTTCCTTATCCCTGACATCGTAGCTGCTGCTGCTGATTTTGCTGCTGCCGCTGAGGGTGCTGCTGCTGCTGCTACTGTGTTGCTGCATGCAGGCGGAAAGCCGTCGATTTCTGGGACTTTGTCCGTCTTGACGGCTGAGTTGCATAGTTCATTAACGCAACTAAGGGGAGAATTATCGCATTTGCTTGCTGCAGCAGACGCTGCTGCTGCTGCTGCTGCAGCAGAAGCTGGAGCGGCAGCAGCAACTTCGCCTGCTGCTGCAGCAGATGCTGCAGTAGCAGGCGGGGCAGTAACAGGCGCAGGTCGGGCCCTACACCAATCACCATCAGCAGCAACAGCAACAACAGCAGCAGGTGGTGTCCCGCACTTATTTCCTTTTAGCAACGAAGGAACAATAGAACGTCCCTCAGGTCCTACTACAGAAGAAGCAAGGCGGCTCGCTCAGTATGTTCACCAAGGGTTTAGGGTTTAGGGTTTAGGTTTTGGAGTATGTCTGGGTCAATTTGTTAGATCCTTTGACACCATGAAGAGTGTATTATTACAGTGTATGATTTAATGTTTGTTGCACGCCATCTAAAGCCATAGAGGATCAATAGGCTAGGGTTTAGGGTTTAGGGTTTGGGGTTTAGGGTTTAGGGTTTAGCGTATAGGGTTTGTATGCAGGCATTTATTAAATCGTTTGATGCCATTGGATCCAAGCTACCATTTGTTATTAAAATTTTCGGGTGTTGCCGTGGCGACTCCCAATAGATTGGCTCGTTCTTTACCAGCAAAGATAAATCGTTTATGGTTTAGATTATTACATTTATCTTTTCCTTCTTCTTATAGACGTCTTACACAGGCAAGAGCAGCAACTAACAGCACCAGCAGCCAGAGGAGAGTTGTCAGCAGACGCAGAAGACACCAAAAAGAACTCATCCATCAGGCTGCTGGATGGTTCGTGTCCAGCCACAGACTCGCTATGCTCGGCTTCTGTGTCTCTGTAAGCAATACACCGGTAGCAGCAGCAGCTACAACAATTACACACAAACATAGCAGGAACAGCAGATGCAGATGCAGATGCAGCGGGGGAGGGAAAGGGGCCTTACTAGAGAGAGGGAGAGAGAGGCAGACAGTGGAGCACCATAATACACAAAAGGGTTAGTAGCTGCTTCTGCTGCTGCTGTTGTTGTTGTTGCATGCAGGAGAAAGCACAGCAAGGTAACCCTTGTTCGGGTCAGATTAATGCTGGCTTAGATCCATCAGCCGTCTCCTCTCTCCGTTCTCTCCTCTTAGAGAATGAAGTCATCGCCAATTTTAGACTCTCAGGCCTTGGAGACCTTCGCAGAGTTGCTATGTTAGGCAGGGAGGTACGCCCAGCTAGCCACAGATGCCAAACAGCAAGCTGGCAACGAGCTAGCCAAGGTGTCTCTTGATGGCTGCAGAGACACCCGCAGATCGCGAGGAGTCGCCGTACCTAGCTCTGTAGCTCTACCTAGCAACAGCTAGCCTGGCAAGCGCCGCAGCCACAGCTGGATGGGACAGCTAGCTAATGGCTGATGCACTGCTGGGGTGTATGCCGAAGGGAGCGTGCATGCATTTTGGGTCAGGCGGTGGTTCATGTGTGTGTTTTTGCATGCATTCATGCAGAATGAGCTAGCTGCTCAGCGAGTTGTCCGTTTGCTGCTGGCGGATCCTTGGCTGCTGTATAAGGAGCACAGCACGGTAATGTCGGTGTTAATGGTGGTACCACAGAACTGCAGCGGGGCTGCACCTACTGTGGGGCCCAATGTTGGGGCTGCGTGCGTCGAAGACAGCAGCTCTGTTATATCCTCCTGTGCCCACGGGGGCAACACGGGAGGGTTTGACCCTGCTACAGCAGCAGCAGCAACAACACCGTCAGGCAAGGGTGTGCCCTGCAGCGACAGGAACTACGGAGACACTTCATCATCAGCAGAAACCCCTGGCGGTCTGTCTCCTCTTCCTGTGAGGAGCCTCGTCCCCATGAGGCTATGCTTCGATGCATGCAGCCCGGTGGGGACCTGCAGGGGTAAGGGGGCAACCCCAAGCATGCAGCAGCAAGACAGAGACGTGCAGCTGCTAATAGAGCTTTCTGTTGAAGGATCTGCTCTTGATATCCGCAGCTTTCCCCAACAAATTGTGCAGTTAATATCCGCGGATGATAACGACAGAGACACAGGAGCAGCAGGGGCTCCCTACTTCCCTCAAGAGGACTTTAGTCCCCACGACTCAATCATCCTTAACGCCTCTAGCGGAGATATGCCGTGAGACACCACCGTACCCTCGTACTCCCTTTCTTCTCCTATAAGTGCATGCAAACAATTCAAGCGCCTTCTCTGCATACATCCATACATATGACAGAAATGGGTGGATGCATGCATGCATGGCTGGATGCATGCGCGTCAAGGAGTGTGGGGCCATGCATGCTCATGCATGTGTGTGTTGTATGTTACAGCTACCCGACTCGCAAATATATGGACGTGAGTCGAGTAATATTACAGGGGACATGCAGACGGGTGGTGTCGCCTGCGGGCACATCAACATTGCTGAAGACGAGGGAATTTGGTGCTCGTTTGTCGGCTCATCAGCGGCGATCTGTGGAGATGCAGCTGCCAGAGAGTCGCATTTTGGTGCATATTGAGATCCGTGGGGTACCACATAGGGAGCAGCAGCAGCAGCAAGCAGGAGGAGGAGCAGCATCAGCAGGAGGGGAGGGAGGGGGGTTAGCAACAACCCCTCAACAGGTATCTTCTCCCATACCTGCTGCAGGCGCACGATATCCTGCTTCTTACTTTACTAGTAAACAATTCCTTACAGAACATAGAGAGACAGAACCCTTCACTGCAGCAGATGCAGCTCTCCTCATCTCTCAGCGTATTAATGATCAACATCGACACGTCTGGGGGGCAGCCAAAGTTGTCCTCTGGGAGGCAGATGAGACCACCAATGACGCAAATATCAAAGTAAACATTACCCGCCTCTTTGTTGCTGCAGCAGCAGCAGTAGCTGTTGTTGCTGCTGCTCTTGTTGCTGATGGTGCTGCTGATGTTGCGCTGTTGTTAATTGTCTGTCGGAGACGCGACAACTGGTGTGGGTGTCCCACTTCCCTAGGGCTTTTGCGTGCATGCATCACCTATGTTCGTGGCGTGCTGTGCATGCATGCGTTGGGGGCTGTGTTTGCATTTGTTGCGTTTAGGGTGCTGTCCATGACGAGGTTCCTTCGGGGAAATCAGACTTCCAGACTTGGAAGATATTAGTTGCTGTTCTTGTCCCGTCTTTTGTGGTTGGAGCTCTCGTGGTTGCCTCTTGGCACTCCACCTCCATTTGCAGCTGTGACAGAGGAGCAAAAGATGAGCCCCCTCCTGCCTCTACCCCAGAGCAGAAGTCCTCCCCAGCAGCAGGAGCAGCAGGAGCAGCAGGAGCAGCAGGAGCAGCAGCAGGAGGGGGAGCAACTGCTGCTTCTGCTACTGTACCACCAGCAGCAGATGGAAACACTGCTGCCGGTGCTGTTACACCTGCTGCTACTCCCACCGCAGTTGCCGCACCTGCAGCTGCCGCAGCAGCTGCAGGTGCTGTTCCTGCTGCTGCTCAAACAGCGCCAAGGTGTAAAGCCTCTTTAGAAATAGTAAAGGGCTCATGAGAGCTGCTTCCACGCAAATATTGACACTCAAACTGGAGTGTCTGCGCAGAAGAAAGGCGATGCGGGGACTACGAGGAAACCCGCAACGAACAAAACATTTAAAAGAGAAGAGAAACTCTTTATTATTGTTGTTCGCATCAATACACCAAATGCATTTCCAATCCTTTGCCTTGATACAGAACCCAACTTATTATTCTTTAATATCTAATTATATCTAATTGTTACAAGTAACAAACGAGGATAAATAACCAAACAAAGTCACACCACAGGAGACCGCCCTCCTAGCAAGGGTCTGTTTCATGTTTAGGGTTTGATGCTTAATGTTTAGGGTTTAATGCTTAAGGCGGCTTGCTTCCTTCGTGGTCCTTCACGAAACGAAGAATGTGAAGAAGCTGCAGTTTTAGTTGCATTCTGTCTAGATAACTGTCAGTAGGGTTTAGGGTTTAGGGTTTAGTCGCCCCAGGGTCTTCAACTGAAGTATCCTATAGCCCTCCACGCTTACATGCATGTAAACAAAGCGGCGGCGTGTATATACAATACTTGTATGTTTACTGCCTATATATACAAGCGTATATATACGTATATTCAAGTATGTACAAAGGTCTGCATGCGTCTGCATGCATCGGTTTTGTTTGGGGCTGCGGCGATGCTAAAAAAGCCCCAATATCTCTTTTGAGAAAAGTTAAATCTGAAGGGGTTTATCTGCTGGGGGGTTGTGTGTGAAGGAGGGAAGACGGAGACAAAGAGACATACATCTAGAAGCACGTGTGTCTGTGTGTCTCTATTTCCTCTTCTATGACCATGTTGTATTAAAGCACCGTGCTAAGGGAAGAACGGATCACTCAGCCCATGCCTCTGCATCTGCGCCAATTATATAAATCGGCTTGTTGCTTGTTACATCCTTTTCGTCCTCGGATGACTCGCTGTGGTTGCTGCTGCTCCTGCTGCGACATTGCAACAAGCATACGCAGCAGTACAGCACAAATATAGGCAAAAATATAAAAATGGCTTCTCTTCTGTCTGCCGGGTTTACGGTGTACGGTTTAAGGTTTAGGGTTTAGGTTACCTTGGAAGTTCGCTGTGGTTTTCGCTGTCTTCACTAGCGGGTGTTTTTTCTGATCCCTTTTCTGAGTCATCTTGTTTCTCCCCCAAGGCGTCATCATCTCCTGCTCCCTCGACGTCGACCCATTCAAGGTGGAGGTCTTCTCCTTGGTAGCTATCGGGATCACTCTTAAGTCTATTAAGTGTCTCCTTGAGGTGTCTCTGCTGTTTAATGAGTGTTTCTACCTTTTCCTGTATCTGACTAAACGCTTCAGCAGTAAAGCCGAGTGCCTCAATGTCTGAATCTGCTGCTCCCTTGGCTGCTGCTTGAAGGGCATAGCGGATTAGCCTGAGCTTCCTGTTTCTACGTTTAAGTTTCTCTGCTACTTTAGCTAAATAAGCAGCTTTACGAGCTCTAAATGATTCATATTGATGGCTAATTGTTGCTGCATCCTCTAGCTGCAGCTTTAATAACGCTAGATATAACTCAGACAATGGCAACCCACACTCCATCACCTCGTTATCAAAAATATACGCAGACTCTCGCTGCTCTTCTCTCCCCAACTCAGACATCAGACGCTCTACATTAGGAGCTGCAATTACACACAAACACCAGCATACATGTATGTAAATGTATATATTATTGTATACATATTTTACATTTATATACAAACATGTATATATATGCAAGCACACCCGAAGACGTATACGCATACACGTAAATACATACAGATATATAAATATATGTATATATGGCTTTTCATGTATATAAGTATAAGAGTGATGGGAATGTACGTAAGCGAACATGCAGATATACATATCACATATGAAGTGCACATGAATGCATAAGGAAGGAAGTGCGTTCATGAGATTAAGAGGCGCGGTGAGCAGTTTTGTGCGTATATGCTCGCGACACACAAGCGGCATTTCTTCTTTTGTTTAGGAGTTGTGTGTTTTGATCTTCGTCGCTTATGTCTTCTTGGTCGTTTGTTTGGTTTTCATCATCTTGTTCCCCAGCATCTTCTCCTTCCTCTCCTTTTTCTTTTTCTTCCTCCTCCTCGTCATCATCTTCCTCTTCTTCCTTTTCCTCCATTTCGAGGTCGCTTGCAGAGTATCCTCCTTCGATGTCTTTAAGTCTCCTCCGCTTAATCTTTTTTTGGTCGATTATCAGCTTTTTCTCGATGCGTTTAAAGAAACCCTCGAGGGGTTCTGCTTTAGCAGGTTCGTCTTTAATAGCATCTCCTCTTCTTGATAGTTTTTGTTTTTGTTGAAGAGACCAATCGGCAAGCATGGAGATATCTCCTCTAGCAATGGCTTGGAGTGACTTGTTGCTTTCTTGTGTCTCCTCTTCGACTTTATGGAAGGCAAATCCAAGACGCAAAACAAACTCTAAAAATGTACCAGGAATGACATCTAACTTCATGTGAACAACCGCAAACCCAAGTGTCTCTGCCATGACCTTGAGGAAGTATTGTCTTTCTTTCGAGTTGATGCGTGTAGTCGATTGTTTAGTACTAATTTTAAGTGTGCGATGTCTCTTGGCAGCAATTAATCGAATTATATCATTTTCTACATCGTAAACCACCAAAGGCTCCCAAGATTTCCTCTTTTCTGACCATCGAGCAAATGCACGAAACAAATATCCTATCACCGGCACTTTGAAAAATGATCGATTTGCACGCACATTGTCAAAATACGCAAACATTAAATTAACCAAGACTTCCAATCCAAAAAGCAGCAGAGCAACCACGACGACAATTGCCAGTGCCACGTTTACGTTCGCATCGAAATTCGATCCCGCTATCGCCTGTATCAACACAGCAAACCGGCATCAGCCGAAACCCTAAGCCCTAAACCCTCAACCCTAAACTTTTAACACCCTCCCACGTCATCCACAATTCAACAACGCTAAATAAAACCTACTCTACAGTAACAGAAAACATACACATACCGACTAAACAACAGTCCTTACACGGTACCACAAAAACAGAACAACCTTCCATATACACCTTAAACCCCACTCTCTGTAGCGCAGAACCCTAACGCTTCGCCCAAAGTCATAGAAATGCAACGCTCCTAAACCCTAGGACATAAGCAGTCAGGACAAACGCTCCAACGTAATCCCGCAGCTTACCAACATTATACAAATGGTCAAAGTCCAAATAGACATGCTGTGGTTCTCCAGGTTGTCAAGAGTAGAGTAATTTCTGAAGGAGAAATGAAAACGCTTGAAACAACTGCTCAATATTCATGCTCTCTTCCCTCTCAGGAACTACCTCCTCTGCTGCTGTTCAACTGAGTGTTTAGTTTTCAGGCCTATAGGTGGATTATTGTGTGTCCTTTCCTTTAGGTGCGTGACTACGCATCTAGTTCTTGTTCGTTTTGTTTTGTGTATGCGTGCACTATTTTTGTTTGTGATTTAGGGCTTATGGTTTGTGCTAGTTTGAGTATTTCGTTCAGCTGTGTAATTTTCACGGGCTAAAATGCGGAATTGGCAGAAGGTAAGAATAGCGCGTGTTTCTGTCTGTCTGTGTTGGAGTGTCTACCCACCTTTTGTCAAAAGGCTGGCAGTTCAAGTGGTAAATATTGAAGACGACGGCTACGACGCACGCAGGCCAGAGCCGCGATCCATTGTTGCTGCTGGAACTGACAAGAACAGAGGAGACAACCAGGACGCTAAACTTTCTAGCAAACACAACTGTCTCCCAGAACCAGAATTGCTTGACGAAACCATTGTGGAGGAAACCAAACTTAAGCCTTGTCTCCCTGCTGTTGAGCTTTTTGCGGTTTGCATACAACACAGAGAATGACACCAGCGGGATCCCCACACTCCATACTGCGATCCCAACGATCCCAAGAGCAAAGAACTTGAAATAATCGCTAGATGGCTCCACCCTACACTCGATGCTCATAGCTGCTCGCAAGAAAGACTTTGACCCATAAGCGCTACCGTAGTCGATGACGGAGCAGTCGAGCAAACTCAACATATGACGGGTTGTGGCGGTGTACAAGAAGAAAAGGACTGTGACATAAATAGGAATCATATCTTCTACAAACTTTTGCCACCGTCTCCACTGCGAGTCTCCAGGAATTGGCACATAACGGAACATCATAAAGGCTCTGTCTTCTTCGTATCTCTCGCGCAGCTGGACAGTGAGACTGGTTAGCCCATAGCGCTCGGTCTCTCCTAGCAGCAGCAGTTTCTTCTTAATGGAGTTCCGATAATAGTGCTGAAATCGGTGCAAGAAGAAGTACAAGATAAAGGTCGCGATTACGGGAAGCATGATGGGCAGCAGAGCGTTGAGCAACATAGAGTAGAAGAAGGAATCGGAGAAAGACAAAGAGAACCCCTCTCGAAGAAGACACTCGACAGCAGTAAAACGCGTGCTGCTTGCTTCCTTTTGAATAATCGTCTCCGACACATTTCGTGTCAAACTTGTGACCCACGTAGGGAGGCTAATTTGGTTGAAGTCAACAACTGTCAGCACCGACATGCAGGTGAGGAAGTTGGAGGCAATCTTAATGACAATGGAGTGTATAGATCGTCTGTTAAAGCCCGCAGCCACGTTCATGTAGGCCATGCCCACATTAAAGAGCAGCAGAGCCAGCTGATAGCCAACAAATAACAAAGCATTGGGGATCTGAGAAGGGCATGCAGTGCAAAACTCATCCTTTTGAAACCCATTTGTATACCCAAACTTGCATTCACTGCAAAGGTAGTTCCCCATAGTAGAGGCACACACACCAAACTCAAGACAAGCATCGGCAATGGGGCATTTTAAGAACTGCCAATCGGAAGGAGCTGTCAGCACTTCTCTCTGTTTGTTTAGATAATACCCAGCTTGCGGATAAGGCTTCACATGGTCTTCAACCGTGATCTCAACATAACTCGGATCTCTTAACAGCCGCTCCACTGCAGCATCCACCAAACCCCCAAGGCAGACAGCCCCGTCAGGGCATGCATGGCAAACCCCCGCAGCGTAATATGTTCCCTCTTCGCAGAAACACTGTGCTTGGGCTTGAGCGCCTTCTAAACTAGTTGAAGAGACACCGCACAGACCGTTGCAGTTAATGTCCTGCACAGTCGTCTTGTAAGAGCCCTCGCTACAAGGCTCGCACACCTTCACGTTCCTCTCCACATCTATGTATTTAAATGCATAACCACGGTCGCACTTGCCTAGGACAAACAACACCAACAGCACCAAGTGAGGGAAACAGCCAATACATGCAGCAGCCAGTATGTGCAAAAGCAACAAAAGCAGCAAGAGTCGGCTTGCATGCGACAGATCCGCCCCAGTCGCTCTGCACCTCTGTTGGTTTGTGTGTGCAGCTGCTGTTATGTAGCGGTGATGCTACGAAAGAACGGAAAAGTGTCTGAGCTGTTTTGTTGGTTTGCTGTGTGTGCGTATACAGCGGAGTAATTTCTTACAGTCGTCGAGGGTTGCAGGGGTATCGAACCCTTCTGTGATTCTTGTGTGTTTAGGACAATCTACTGGCTGAATCGGTTTCTTTCCATTAACACATTCTTTGTCGTCTTCCGAACAATCTGTCTCCCCCCCGGGACAATATTTGTAGGCTTGCTTGCATGCAAGACACTCGCGGAGCTCGCTGTTATAGTAGTAGCCGGGGCTGCAAAGACACTGCGCGGAGGAGGTGGAACCCGTGACGTTCATACCCGAGTTTTCGCTGCACTGTTTGCAATTATCATTGCCGATCCAGTCTTTGTAAGAGTTGACTCTGCACTTGTTGCAGGTTACAGTCTCCATGGTTGTCCCCGACCCTGCTCGGTAATACCCCTTGTCGCACATACAGTCCTTTAACGATGACGACATTTCTCCCTTTGTCGTCGTGTTGGGGGGACATAGCACAAAAGAACTATGCAAATTAGTCGTCGCGTCAATACCCCCTAAACAGTACGCACCCACTGGGCACGGCTGCAACACACCGAGCAAGTGACAACTGCAAGAGCAGCAGCAATACCAGCAACAGCAGCACTACTTTGAGCAGCCGTACTGGCAGGAACACAAGATGCGAAGATGCATTGATGCAAACACGAAGAAAGATGAAGTAGGCCGTTCTATTTGGGAGTATGTATAGCGCGTGCATTCATTTAAACCAATGAGCAGCCAAGTAATTCTGGTTCTTTCCTCTAGAGGACATTGTGTTTCTTGTTGCTGCCCTAGCGCGTTGTCCGTTTGTTTCCCCTTGCGTCTGTGTGCCTCTTTTTTGTAGTTGTCTGTGTGTAACATTGGTGTATTCTTTTGTGTCTCTGTGTCTCTTTCTCCCGGTGGGTTGGCTTTTCTGTTTTGCGATTCTTTGTGTCGCTGTCTGTCTGTATTGGATTTGTCTCCTATTGCGTCTTTTACCTGGCAAACCCGACTGTCTTGGTCCAAGTAGTAGCCGGCGCTGCAGACGCAATCCGAGAGGGACTTGGAGGCCGTGCTGAGCGTGTTGCTGCCGGGGGGACACTTAATTGCTTCTAAGTTTCCTATGCTCTCCTTGTACGAGCCCAGGGGCACAGGACGACAAGTCACTTTGTGGGTGCTGTTGTCAATCCCAGCGTACTCATACCCTGCCATGCACCTGCACAGATATTAACACTCCCACACACTCCAAAACCTGAAAACCCTAAACCCTAAATTGTTAGCTCCTGACCCTGGTCACGTTGGGCCCCCATGTTGCGCCACAGCTGAGCGTCCCGCCAAAGCCTTTTAGGGTGCATGGATGGTGGGTTCTATGTTGGATTTGTTGCGTTGCGCGTGTAGGTAGTGATTGATGGGTGTTGTATAGGTGGGGTTCTTGTTTAGTGACCATACATGCAGCTGAAAGGATCTGTATTTTTGCTGTTGGGCTCGATTGTTTCCGTATAGTCTGAGCAAGGGATTTTGTCCCCTGCCAGAGGAGCCAGCGACTCGACAGCAGGCTCCGACCCCACGCAGAAGTGGTGCGCCTGACACTCTCCACAAGGAAGGTCCTCGTTGGATGTGTGGTAGTAACCGGCGAGACACATGTTGCAGCTGCTCTTGTCTGTGGGTCCGTCTTCACTCGAGAAGGAGTTGAGGGGACACTCGATGCAGGCCTCTGCTGACACCCTCCCTTTGTAGTGTCTCCTTCCACAGAGCATGCAGACTTGCGTGTCTTGCAGGCTTGCATAGAAAGGGTTCAGCAGCAGCCACCGCTTAAGCAGGCTCGCAGGGGTTGTAGGGTCTGCTAGGGATTCCGCAGAAGCAGGGGCATATCCTGGCTTGCAGAGACAATGCGTCAAGTCAACAGAAAGCCCGTTCTCCGCATTTGTTGATGTGAACGGAGGGCAAGATATCCGCTGGGCCCCATATCCTCCTAATGAGAAATAGCCCTCTTCCACCTCCAGACATTGCATCTCATCGTCGGTATACACCGCGTAATAGCCTGGCAAACTAAAAAGGCAACGGCAGCCACAACAAACAGCAGCAAGAACAAGCATGCACATTGGAGAAGCGGGGCCATGGCCATAGCCAAATGAGGCAAACACGAAGTAAGTACAAGGGAGACCATTGGACGTATACAGAGTACTGCAGAGAAAGCCAGAGAGAGACTCACAGAAGGAGACAGAGACACAAAGAGAGACAGCAATACGAAGGAGAAACACACACAGAGACTAATAGATGTAGTAGGAGACAAAGAATGCCACAGTAGTGTGGAGATGTACAAGTGGGGCAGCAACGAGGGGAAATGCAACACTGGTGTATCAGAAGCTAAAGCTGCACCAAGAGGAAAATTGAGAGATTGCCTGTCTCCTTCAGGTGTCTCCGTAAACTGTGTCTATAATCGGATTACAATATCTCACCAAGAGCAGTATCTTTCTTCAGAGGAAACTGCACCAACGACGTGCGAGACAGAGTGGGGGGGACAGCCGCCTCCTGTACACCCTGTGTCTGCTACGGTGTCTTTGTAGGACCCTGCAGAGACACCTCATCACCGCCGAAGGCATGCCATTGCGCCAAATTCAAAGCTGTAAACCCTGAACCCCAGATCCTGAAGGCTAAGAATTGAGTTTCAAGGACTCTATGGACGGCATACGGCAGCATGTTTAAAACCATTAGTCTTAGACCCTAGGGCAACGATGGCTAGTAGGAGGTGTTGAGGGTGTATACCTTCAGCGCAAGGCACGCATTCTTCTGTCTCTTTGTCGAGGTGGTAACCCTTCTCGCATAGGCATTGCTCATTGCTTGTGGAACCTTCTGCTACTGTACTGCGTTTATCTGCGCATTTTCTGCATGCGTGGAAGTAGCTAGTGGGGCTCTCTTTAACAAGTGCAAGACTGTTAAAGGACCCTGTTTGGCATTTGATACACATGCCATTGCTGTAGTAATGCCCGTCTTTGCAGCCGACACGGAAGGTAAAGGAGGTATTGACGCTATTGACGACTCCGCTTCCAATGACTTCAACAGTAATGGGCTCTTCTTGGATGTCAATAAGGCGAAGGGTAATTGTGCCTGACGTCTCTTCTATACTAACATTTCTCTCCATAAAGGCAAAAGAGGCAGCCGCTGGGTTCAAAGCAAAACTTGCGAGACCTGCGTTTGAGCTGGCCCCCACGATAGAGGGCTCAAGTCGATGTTCCTCCCCTAAGGCATACCATTCTCTTGGGGTGTATTTGAAGTCGGGGGTGGTGGCGGTGGTGTCAAGAGGTACTAGGTGGACCATTGGCCCATCGTAAGAGTTGTGAAACGTCATCAACCAGACGCCGCTCAAACCTCCCGAGGCATCCCCTGTCTGCAGCAAGCACATCCACTTCATATCCGTCTCTCCTGCAGAGACGGAGTCCAGCCGCTGATACAAACGCATCTCAGAGTGGCCATATGGTTTTGTTAGCAGCATTGGCTCCGTCTTGCCCTCCTGCACGACACGTGCGAAAGGACACAGAGACACACACATACAGACACCACATAAACCCACTGCTCCTTTATTAAACATCTCTGCAGCTGCCTCGAGCATTTCCCGATATGCAAAGTGCTTGGATTTCTAGTGTTCAGGATTTAGGGTTCGGGATTTTGACCTCGGCAACGTAGAGCAGCGTATATCCATTGTAGGCGTAGACAACAACGAGCTTGGGCTCTACCAGTTTGTGGGATCCATTTTCGTTGGAGGAGACCTCGGAGACGAAGGAGGAGGTGTTAGTAGTTGTATCGTACTGCAGAAGAATTAATCTTCCCGTCTCTTGGTCTGCCAAGTAGCAATCGAAGAGATTGGAAGAGGAGCGGTCGGGTGTGGGGATACAAAAGACAGAACGCGGGCCTTCGAGAGGCCCTGACATATTTGGCCATGTAGACTGGGCCTCTAGCAGCTGCAATCCACTGTCGAAGAGCAGAATCTGTTTCCTGCGTCTGTCTGCTACAACAACGCGGCATTCACTCTTCTCCTGCAGCAGCGCAAGCCCTGTGGGTTCGAACAGCAACGTCGTCCCTGAGGTGGTGGCGAGAGGAGACAGCTCTGAGAGGTGTCTCGGCTTCGTCATGTCGTACACCTCAAGGACTTTAAACTCTTTCTTCAATAGGAAAAACAACACTCTGCTACTGTCTGCATGAACGGCTACAGCAGAAACATCTGGGGCAGAAAACCACGCCAGTGCTTTTGGGGTTGGATTCGCTATCGAGGAATACCAAACGGAGACACCTGTCTCCTCCACCCAGAAGCTCAGTGCCTTTGGAAAGTCCCCTTGGCTAAAAAATGCATGTAAGTCCTGTTCGAAGAAGCAATCCGTCTCCGTCTCCGCCCCAATCCAGTGCAGCCCCAAAGCGCTGAACTTCTCGACTGTTAGCGAGAAAGTGCTGTGGGGGATACCAGGAGACCCGTGGGATCCCCTCTGAAACAAATCCAGAGGGTACACGAGGGCCCTGCTAAGATGAGCCACTCCCAATGAATATGCCTTCTGCTCCAGCTCTAAACAAACCTCAAGCGTCCCTTCAGATGTATTTTCGCCGTCACCAAGCCGCCCGACAGTCATTTGCCTGGAGACACGCACTCATCTCAACACCCAAGTCACAGATCCTCTTGTCCCCTTGCTTGCTGACAGCCATGCATGCATGGGCAATGCAGATACGCCAGACAGCCGGAGACGTCGTAAGCTGCATTGCTACAAAGGCGCCAACAACAAAAGCTTCATATATAGATATTTATGTAGATGTTTTGCCTTTGTGTCTGGCTGTGAGTGGCTGCCTGTACTTGTTCGTCGTTTGCCTGTTGCTCCTACAAGCTGGATTCTGTGTGGTAGCCAGATCATACGCTACCTCGCTAACAGGTAGCTGGGCGGATACCCGTCCAGGTGGCCCGTTGCTTACTCTGCAATGAAGAACTTGGTCTCGCTGTCCTCGGCTACCGGCTGCTCGACGACTTCCTTAGGACGTCCTACAATGGTGCCCCCACAGGGGGTGTTTGCTGGTTTGGTCAGATATATCTCACTATCTAGGGGCTTAGGAACGGGGCCCCGAGCCTTAATAAATATCGAAAAGGGACGGTCTTCAACTTTAGAGGAATTGGAAACGTACAGCGCGTAAAAATGGCGGCGCAACTCCACACCTACACTCCACGCGCACACGCACACAAAAACAGAGAAAAATACACTTTAGATGTAACGACTCCACATTGCTTTCGTGCATCCTTTTATCCATGCATGCAAGCACACTAGCGGAGCATGCAGGGAAGGTAGAACGCTGAAAGCACTTCCCAGTTGAATGGCGTGTGTATACTCAACGGAGGAGGTGCCAACGAAGAGCGCTCTTGACCAACGCCAATCGCGAAACCCTTGACCCTAAACCGTTGTCCCGTTGTTCGCTAACCTGTGACGTTGATTTTGGCTGCTGGTAGGGAGACGTTGGACCCTGAAGGTGACCAGCATGCGTAGTACACCCCCGTTTGGTAGATAGTGAAGGCTGGCAAGGGGAGGGATGTAACGTTTTTGCTTATATATATGGAGGTAGGGGTGAGCTTAGCAGCTGTAGCTGTCCCCAGCTCGAGGGCGAAGGCTAGTTGGCGGTATGCCTCGGCGCCTCGCAAAAGAAGACTGCCCATAGACTCAGCGAAGGCAACGGCGGAGAAGTCGCAGTTGTAAGAAGAACGCGTAATGGAGACAGTGTCTCCTATCGTATAACCAAAGCCCGTCAGCGAGACAGAGGCAGGAGTCCCTGTCTGGACGTCAAATGTCTCCAATTCTTTCTTCGGCCCTGGGCAGGAACGTAAACTCTGCCTTCATGCAGATGCATGAGGTGCATACATAGAAAGGTGCTGGAGGGCGCTGGAGTGGTGGACGGGGTATGCGTTGTCTCTGCTACGCTGTACATACACCACATCTGCAGGAGAGTTGGCTGGGCCTGCCTCACCTTTAACATGCAGCCAGCCGGCATGGAGAGAGTAGTGTTCAGCCCTAGTACAGACTGGGTCATCTGCAAGGTAATATGAATAGTCACAGAGACATATACTGTAGGAGCCATGCGCTGAAGATTCAACCTGCACATCTTGCCAGATAAGAGCGGAGAGACCACCAGCTGAAAGACGAGGAAGAGCTTTATTTATTGTGCCGTTGGATGACTTTTTAAGATGAATATCTCTTGTCTCCAGTCCCGGTCCGCACGGCCGGGCCCCATCTCCAAGTATAGATGGCATAAAAAAGGCCAAGTCATAATACGCCTCCGAAAAGAAACCCTCTAGTACCAAATCAATGGTATCTCCTGGTTGCACCAGCTGTGTCTTGGGGCCTGACAAGCACATCGGTACAGTCCCTCGTTTGCATATTTCTCTTCGGCGGTTGGTGCTGCCGCTCACACCGTCACAGCTCTTTTACTGTTTCCACTCTGGTAAGGGCAGCTACTCTTGTATATACATGTACATACAGATGTGCGTATATGTCAAAGTTTGGGGTTTGTTGCTGGTGTGATGTGCGGGCGGATGTGGAAGTGTTAGGGAATATGGGCACCTAGGGGATCGCAGAAGTCGGAGCGGACGTCTGGATCTGTCGTAAAGCACCAAATAGAGTCTCCTTGTCCTGCAGATCTGCAGTAGTTGTGATTCTCGTCTGTAAGGGTTTCGTGTTTGTGAGGAGTCTGCGAATTCCAATTCTGACACTTCTTTCCTAGACGTGTCTTAGACTGGCAGCCGGCATAATTAGCTCCCACTGTCCCCTCTTCGCAGCCTGATAAAGCATGTATACAACACAGCAACAGAAGCAGCAGCAGATGTCGCAACTGGCAACTAACTGGTTCCTCGGGTGTAAGTCCCCAACTCCATCTCCTCAGCACTCTCTACGTTTCACACGACAGAGTTGAGCTATGGTTGCATGCAAGGCGCAGCAAATACAAGCCGGATTTAACCCTCGGCGCATGCATGCCTGCATGCAAGCAGATCCATTGTGTGGGGCGATTGGTCTCACCACAGCCTGGGGACTTTTGTTGCTCGATGTGTTGGGCTAAAACGGGCAAGTTGCCGCTGCGGATAACGATGGCCAAAGGAGACAGACACGCTACTTGTTCTCCACAAGGCCCAAGACAGCTGAATACGCTCATTTCAATGTACTTTCCTGACATAGGCAAACAAACCCAATCGACGTCGTCTTCGCTGGTGAGTCGCAGCACTAAGCTCTCTCCACACACAATCTGCTCCACTTTCCGGTGCAGTTCCGAAGGCGCTGCGCCAGCCCACAAACACACGCACGCATGCAACTAGCTAGCTACCTCGCTAGCAAGCTACTTAGTGGGTTTGTTTGACGTAGAACTGCTCAGCTAGCTAGCTAGCTAGCTAGCTAATAGTGCAGCTAACCAGCTATATATATATATATATATATATATATATATATATA